CCTGCTGAAGCATCTTAATTATTTATTTCACATACCCAACCTTAGACTGAGGTTGGCATGCCTTCTCAAGAGTTACATCTACACCTTGCAGGAAAGGAGAACTTCTCCCAGGAAGGAATCCAACCAGTTGGATTTCTTAAATTCCCTCAGATTAGTTATTTAGAATACTGCTGTTCACGTTTCTATAGACTTAACACCACAATAAAATGACAAAGGCGAAGAGGCACCCCTACAGCTGCTGCTGCTTCAAGACGTTAATTCACAGGAAGACAACTCTGCAGCTGTTCATTTTCTGCAAGGCAAGTTTGTGGTTGGTCAAAGCTGTGGTGAGCCATTCATTGGCTGACAGCTGAAGTGTATCCCCTGGCTAGGATCTTAGAGGTACACACGCAGCATTCATAAAGCTAAAGAAAGGGAAGCACTTGACAATTCAAGTATTCGCCTAGGGGGTGAACAGCCAACGTTCACATCTCTTGCCCTAATCCCAAGCAGGGTCTGGAATCCAGGTTTCCCATTTCTAAGCTCAATTCTCTGGAGGCCAACCACACACACTGCTCTCTCTTTTTGGTTCAAGCAGTATATAAATGTTGATATGCAGTACAGCAACCTCAGCAACAGTCAGCTCCTCCAGGGTACTCCTTAACTCAGTTCTCAGGACACTTCCCTGAAAGCTGGAAGCCCACACCCCAGCCCATGCTCTGAAGCAGGCAGCGAGGCATTTGAAACTGGGTTTTCTTACACCCCCAAAGAACGTCCTACTTCTAGATAGGCGTACAAAGTTAACATCACCATATTTCTCTTGTGTGGCTGCATGAATGGTTTCTAAATTCTCTTGTAAAACTACACTGTCATTTCAAATGTCTTCAGCTCTTTCATATGGCTGAAACAGCATTTTCGCTTAGATCAAGCAGAATGTTTTAGACAACAGGAATTTAAGAAAGAAACAGTGCAATTTCCAACTGTGATTTGCAGTCACTCACTTAAAACCTCCTCAATACCAGAGGACAGTACTGCAGGATGCTGGAAGTTTACACAGTTTACAAAAGCCACTGGATAACTTCGCAAGAGAAAAATTCTCCAAAGACTAAGACACCTCATCTGGCTCCCAGGGTTCCCGAGCCATAGGCTGTTAAAGGCCGAGAAATTATTCTGGAAGCAATTACATGCTTTATCCTGTTCTTTGTCCCCTCCTCTGCATATTCACTATTAGCCTTTGCCACAGACAGAGCTAGCCGAGACATCACGTAAAATGCAGAACAGCTACTTTTATGCTTCTGTAAAGAATAACCTTCAGTGCTCCCAGAAGCTCTGTGCACCAGCCTGACTAACAAAAGTCAAAGAGAACCATCGTCACTTCTGAAACTGTAGCATTCCTACTGTGGAGATCATCTTCAGACTGATCTCAGCACATCAGGAAGCAAGAACAGAGCAGATGCCACACCATTTATTTATCACCCAGTAATCATATCTGGAAACACAGACTTACTTGTTTTCTTCTTTTGCCAAAAGGTTACTATGTCTTTGTGCAACTCTTTCGCTTTTTTTCTGGCAAGAGCTGCAGAGGCCTGGAAGAAAACAAAAGCAGAGTATGAAAACCTATTAGCATCACAACACCAAAACATGCAGTGCAGTTTTTTGCCAGAGACACATTTACTAATTTCCATTAAATTCTGGTTACTGCACTTTAACCTCTCACTCAAGACCTACACGCAACCAGCAGGACTAGGCAGGTTTCCACAAAAATTGCTGCTTTTCGCTACAGCCAGCTTAGAGCACTTGAGACTGAAGGTGTGTTTTTAAGCACAAAGCAGAAACAGAACACGCAGTCTCTGAACTGGCTCCTCAACACACCTCAGCGGTGACGTAACAGCAGTATTTCCAGCAAGCAGATCACTCTGCAGACATCACACAAGCTCACCTCACCCTTGGTGCTCGCAAGCCTAAGCAAGAACGCAGCAGCGTACGTAATTCAGGCTTGGGCAACAAACAGGGAACATCCGTTTGTGTTTGAGCTGGATGCTAGCAGGACAGTTAAAGCCAGGCAGAGCTCCGGCAGCTACCATGTTTTAGGTGCAGCTCAGTACACTTCTATCCCTGTCTGTAATGCAGTGCTCATGACACAAAGCGTTCCCTCAAGTGAAAAACATACCACGTTACGAAACAGGGGTGCAGTTCTCACCAGAGCTTGACCCATCCCAAGCACTCAGATCTGAGCCTGCTCTCGTGCCGACCGCTTCCAATACTCACATGATCAAAAAAGTGGAGAACGGCCATCTTTTTATTGCGCCTGGTCATGATCCGTCGAACTTTTACGAACTGGCCGAAGTGCTTCTCCAGCACCGTCCTGTCATTGAGGTAATCGGGGACGTTCTTGCACTGGATGGCCGTCAGCTCGCCGGGCGACAGGCCCCCCAGCCCCTCCGTGCCCTCGCTGCCCCGAGCCCGCCGGGCGGGGGTCGTGGGGGCGCCATCTGCGAAGAGAGGGAGGCAGCCACCTCAGAAAGCGGGGTGACGCCCGGCCGGCGGGGCGCCCCGGCTCCCCCCGCCCCAGCCTACCTTCCCGGGGGAGCTCCCGGGCCTCGGCCGGCGGCAGGTCCTCCGCGGGGCCCCCCCCCGGCTCGGCCGGGGGCT